GCCCCCCAGCCTGGCCGGCTCGCTGTGGGGGCTGGTGGCTCCCCGGCTTGGCGTGTCCAGTGTAGCATTTCTGCTTGGCAAATGGCCTCTTCTCTGAGCCCTTCCCCCCGGCACGGGTGGGCGGGGCTGACCCCAGCGCCCTGTGAGATGCACTTGCCCTGGCGGGCGTGGGGCACGGGCCTCCCCCTTGCGGGCGCCCACCCTGGGCTGGGCTCTCCTCTCCTCTCCTCACCCCTGCCCTGCTCTTGGCCGGGCTGCAGCTGGAGAACCTGGTGTATTACAACCGCCTGAAGAACTCCAAGATAGTGATCAGCGACTTCCACCTGGCCAAGCTAGAGAACGGCCTCATCAAGGAGCCCTGCGGCACCCCAGAGTATCTCGGTAAGCAGCCCCCGCTGGGCGGGCAGGGCACGACATCCCCCGCTCGGGACCCCCAGTGAGCCGCAGCGGGAGGATCTGCCCCCAGAGCCCGTTCCACGGGCGCAGCAACCCCGGTCCGGTTCTTCCCTCCCTCCGGGGCTGCCCCCGAGCCCGTTCCAGGGCGCAGCAACCCCGGTCCGGTTCTTCCCTCCCTCCGGGGCTGCCCCCGAGCCCGTTCCAGGGCGCAGCAACCCCGGTCCGGTTCTTCCCTCCCTCCGGGGCTGCCCCCGAGCCCGTTCCAGGGCGCAGCAACCCCGGTCCGGTTCTTCCCTCCCTCCGGGGCTGCCCCCGAGCCCGTTCCAGGGCGCAGCAACCCCGGTCCGGTTCTTCCCTCCCTCCGGGGCTGCCCCCGAGCCCGTTCCAGGGCGCAGCAACCCCGGTCCGGTTCTTCCCTCCCTCCGGGGCTGCCCCCGAGCCCGTTCCAGGGCGCAGCAACCCCGGTCCGGTTCTTCCCTCCCTCCGGGGCTGCCCCCGAGCCCGTTCCAGGGCGCAGCAACCCCGGTCCGGTTCTTCCCTCCCTCCGGGGCTGCCCCCGAGCCCGTTCCAGGGCGCAGCAACCCCGGTCCGGTTCTTCCCTCCCTCCGGGGCTGCCCCCGAGCCCGTTCCAGGGCGCAGCAACCCCGGTCCGGTTCTTCCCTCCCTCCGGGGCTGCCCCCGAGCCCGTTCCAGGGCGCAGCAACCCCGGTCCGGTTCTTCCCTCCCTCCGGGGCTGCCCCCGAGCCCGTTCCGTGGTCAGAGGCTGGCTTGTACCCAGAGGGCTGAGGGCCCATCTAGCCTGTTCCCCTGGGCATGGTGGACAAATGGGATCCAGGCTCGCCAGCATTGGCCGTTCCCAAGATCTCCGCAGTTGCTCTGGGCGCAGGTGGTCCTCCTGGGCCTGGCGTTGCGGGCGCTTTGCCCTGCCGAGAGCCG